AATACTTAGTTATTATAATATTATTGACTATATTCCCTATGCTGTATTTTATATCTCATGACTATTTTGTAACTACCAATTTGTACTTCTTAATCCCTTCCCCTTTTTCGTTTAGCCCCCCAATCCCATCCCATCTGGCAAAAAAAAAAAAAAAAAGATTTATTTTCAAGAAAAAAATAGAGACTGAGGAATTGTAAACTGAGAGAATACTTTTCTAATAACTTTGTAATAGTAGCTAAAATTTATTGTCCCAAAGCTGGGACAATACCTCTCTATCAGAGGTATAGAGAACATGAGTCTGAAAAGATGAAATTAATGAACAAACAAACAAATCTACAATGACTATTCAAATGGAAAAAAAAAATCTAATACTTCTTCCAGGTCACCCTCCTAGAAGTAGGACATATATAGATAAGATAGAGTGTAACATGAAGGAATAGAGGCAAAGAGATCTCCCCTGCTGCAGAAATACTGAGAGGGCACAGAATTAACAACCACGATAGTTTGCTGACCTAGACCTTGAGGTACGCTGGCTCATTAAAATGTCACGAGAACTTTATGAGGTAAGTCTATAACCATCCTCATTTGCAGCTCAGAAAACTGATGCCCAGAGGGGTAAGTAATGTCCCTAAGGCTACACAACTAAGAAAATGGCAGAGATTTGAATCTGTCTCCAGAGTCAGAGTCTTAGCTACTCTTAAGAGCAAATGTGAAGAAATGGGGCTGAAAGAGCAAAAGTAATGAACAAAGTTGTCATGAACTTAGTGAGGATGACGAGAGAACATGAAAAGGAAAAGCAAGGCATTTCCTATAAATGGAGAGAAGAGAAGATGTTAGTGGAATAAACAGAATAAGCTGGTATCTAAAGAAATGGCTTATAGCAGGGAAGTTCTCTATTCCTTATTTAAGAATTAGGAAAGGTACACAGAGAGGGCAACCTGAGAGCCAAGAAAAGGAAAACCGAATGGCTTGTAAAAGAAATTCTATCTCCACAGATCAGCATTATGATCAAATTGCTGAAAGAGGAAAAACATTTGTAAGCTGGATGTATTTGCTGTTGAATTTTTTAAGACTGTAGAGATTGCCAACTCAAGGGTGGATAATGTGAGTGTGTTGCTTGAGTGTAGGTTAATAAGGAGTGAGGGGGACTGTGGCAAACCGAAGGGTACATGCCTTGTCTCAAAGACTGTTTAAAATTTGTAGTTGATATGGAAATGCTGGCTAGTGTTGCCAGATGTCTAATTTTTTTTAGATGCCGGAGATGTGTATGTTTATGTAAAGTGTCCAAATTGTTCAATGTTGGCCACCAGTTCACATTAAAAACACCTGTGTGGACTGATCAAAACGTTCGTAGGTGAAATTTGACCCATCACTTGCCAATGTGCTCCTTATGCTTTAAAGGATGCCTTTGTATGTACTGGTCTCCCAATTTGAGATACTTTTCTCTCCAGTCCCCTAACTTAGTCCACCTAACAAATATCCTTATTCTATAGACCTGGCTCAGATGTCAACTGCTCCAAGAAATTTTCTCTGAATCCTTCTCTTCTGAATGTGTCCATCACTCCCTTTTCTCTGCTACCTCAGTGCTGTGCACACACGTGCTGTATTTATTCAGCTGGTATGCTGTTGTTTGCCTGTCTCTCTCCTCTTCTAGCCTATGGGCCTTTTGAGAGCAGGGCTGTCTCTCTCTCACTCATCTCTGTAACTCAAACCCCAGCGATGAAGTGACAGGTGTTCATGACCATGGGAAAAAGAAGAAATTGTTGGCACACAAAACAAGGAGGTTAATGGTGACTTTTGCAGTCAGGAGGAGGGTATTAAAGGCTGCAGCTGATTAACATGCCTGAACATTGATTACAGGATTTTTGCAGCAATTTTGCTGCTTTATACCCCACAGGTACCTGTTACAAACCCAGCAGGAAACAGGTGCTAAGACAAAGAGTGAGAACAACAATAGACAAGGCACAAGCAGGAGAAGGAGATGGCAGGAGTAGGCAAAAAGAGGCCAAAGGCTGAAAAAGAAAAAATGGTAGTGTTTTATCAGGAAATACCTTAGGGAGTCTGAACTTAGGAAATCATGTTTAGGTTGCATCAACTGGAATTGGGAAAGAGAATGTGCAAAGAATTATAATCTTAGAGCTAAGGAATAGCATAACTCTTGGCACATATTGAATGTTCAGTCAATTATTGTGGAATAAATCTAGCAATATGGACATACACAAATGAACAAGGAATGAGGCTGAAAATTAAAAAATGATGAAATGAAGAGGGATAACAAGTAAAAGGTTAACAATGACTATTATAAATTGATACAAAACATTTATGTAAATATAGTTTACTTTGAAGTATAAAGAATCATAAATATGTGTGATCTGAAGATGCTCCTTAAAAGTAAAATGCCCTTTGAGACCAAAAAGAGATGATAGATAAAAAACTCTTTGGAAATTGAAAAGTACTGAACAAAAGGAATTGGATAAGAAAAATATGAACTTGCAAAGTGTTTTAAGTTATGGAGAGAATATGCACATTAAAATATGGGGCTTTGGCTATAAAAAAGATGCCCAAACCTGAAGATTTATTCTCAGATTATGGGAGGGGGCAGAGGAGTGTGGTGGTTAAAGCCCACTGTCACATCTCAGCTCTGCCACTTTCTAGCGCTGTGACTTAACTTCTCTGAACCTCAGTTTCCTCTAGGAAAGTAGAGATATGATATCAGCGCCTCAGGGGGTTGCTGTGAGGATTAATTAAGACCAGGCATGTAAAGCGCTTGGCACCAAGCCTAGCACACTGCAAACACTCCATAAATGCCAGCTGTTATTATAAACTACTTGACAGGAAAGTCAAGGAGCAGAGAAACTTAAAGCATCTCTATAATTACACGAATTGTGATGAAACAAGTTAAAATCTTGCTTCGTTTTCTTCTAAATTGGATTTCGTAAGCTAAACATGATTCTCTCTGTACCTAGGAGCAGTTGCTAGGAGAAACTGGCAAAAGGCAATAAAGTGGTGAACTCAGTCATTGTTCTTAAAATAAATATGAAATGAGATGGGAGGCTTTGGAATGACTTTTTTTTTTTTTTTCCAGAGGGAAAGAATAACTTCCCAAATGAGAAGTCAGGTGAGGACACTGACAGGATGCTGGTGGAAGATAGACCAGAAGCAAGGGACATAGAAATCACGTTTCTGCAAAAAGCTGGTGCTGAGTCTCCTGGACCTTTTTGTTGTGAAAAATGTATAGCGCGGAATCACGTACAATTATTTATGGAGGTGTATATTTATGCACCTTAGTGAGATAATTTAAGCTGGATGTCTGAGGAAAAGATAGAAGAACGTATTGACATGTATCCATTTTATAGGAGGGAAACTAAAGGTGGGAAGAGACAATTTTCACAGCGGTCAGGTGCACCGGGGTGATGTCCCCAAGGCTGGATTAGAATTGTTTCTGTTATTATCAGCTGGCAAATCAAATATGTTTATCTCCCCATGACTCTGCTTCCTCAACTGTAAGATGAGACAAACACTATCTGCCTAGGAAGGTTATCATGAGGCTGGAATGAGACAGAGTTTGTAAAGTGCATGGTATTGTAACGATGGTTCTGACATTACTATTCACAGAAGTAGAATGCTTTCGGTCTCTCAAATATTTGTGAGATGTTCTCATGTATTGAACTCATAAAAACATAATTTTTATTAAATTCGCTTCTATTCAAGTGTACCATATTTAGTTTTGGTACCTATAATTTTAATAAGAGGAATTTGTGTGTTTTTGTTAATGAAAAATTTGCAATTAACATTATTCTTGACCAGTTTAAAGGGCTACTACTAATTCTGCTTGGGGCATGCAGGGTTAGTTTAGAAAGTAAAATAAATTTCTGAAATCTCTGGCCTGTGTCAATGGATTCATGACTAAATCAGTGAGGGGTGGATTCAGGTTATGAAAATATGATTTATAAGCCTTCTCTTACATAAAGTACTTCGTCCTCTTGTGTCCATTTTAGTGACTGCTTTTACACACATGTTGGTGGTAATTGGGTGACAAAGATTTGGTGTATGGCAAATACTTTCTAAGTATCCACACCCCCCGCCCCCAAATCACTATTCATGTTAAGCTCTCAAGAATGAAGAAAGGTCTGTGAGAACAACCAGCTGTGAGCAAGTTGCTATTATCTGCAACTTGGATTCTCCAACTAGTTACTTTTTGGTCTGCATTACTCTTCCAGAAGCTGTTTGTGACATAAGCCAGCCTCTCTAAGTGGCCATGCATTATATGGTGAGAAATACTGAACAAATATAACCCTGCCAGATGCTAAGCTAAGTTTCTCCCCCCCAAAATCACACAGTGCCTTTTATGGGGTCATTTAAATGAGTTATACCGATAATAAGCAGTGAGATTTATAAATACATATCTAATGACTCTCTTTATTCATACTAAATATGGCAAATGGATATTATAGAGGTTGCTAAATCAAATGCTAAGTGTCCCAGCTGTTTAAATTCACCAAGTTTCTTTCTTAATGAAAAACAGATAATGCTGGCTGACAAGAATGCTAACCAAATGGTCCCTTCTGGCCTGACTAGAACAGAGGGGAGAATATAATGCAGAGAAGATTCTGAACACATTGTACTTTAAAGCAAAAGCTGTGTAGCTCACTCATGCTGAAGCATACACCAAACTCTTCTTTCAGCATACATTTAAAATTAAATTCAAATCTGACTGTACCGCTTTTGCAAGCTTCACGCCATGCTCGTAAGTGAGCGGTTTCTCTTTCATATACAGCAAACGGGCCAAGGTTTTGGGGTCATCGCGGAGATCAATCTGGCAAAAACATACATGTGATAAGGTCATTTATTTTTTCAGGCATTACCAGGTATTTTAAACTGTGACATAATAGAGATATTTTTCCCTTTGACATCTATGTAGTTGCCAAATCTTCTTTAAAGAAGCACATACACATGTCCATATTATGTCTAAAAATTAAAATAATTTTTTTGTAAATATATACATGAGGCTTTTCTTGTATTTTCCCCAGGACTTACTCCAATGATTCTGTGGCCGTTCAGATGTTTTTGAAAATTCCCATTTATTTCTAGAGCCTTTATGGGACACATAAAATAATTGATAAATCTTACTACCTTACAGTGATGCTCATTTGATCCCAAATTAGGTTACTCATTTTTAATAATTTATTTCCTAGAAAAATAGATAATTTTGGCTTTTCCAAACCAAATCTTCATCCCTCAAAGGGCTGCTGTGAAAATATTTTACTGAATGTACTGCAGCTGAAGGCAAGTTCTAGAGAGGAATTTCTAAGGATTTGTTCCAGGAATAAGCATTAATCTTTTCAAAGGTAGAACTACTTTGAAAATAGCATGGATTAGGTTTTATAATTTAATTAAATATTTTAGTTGCTTTAAAATCTCACTGTGTATATGAACCCATGCATATATGAATGGGTGTGAATGTGGGCACACATAAGCTTGTGTTTTAAAGGAAAACCAATATATTCATATATTAAATTTATATACGAGGGTTTCATTTATAAGCATTGTGCAGCTTTACTAATTTGTGTAGTTTTTGTTGTTCTGTTTTTGTTTTTGGCCTTCATTGTTCTACTTAGTGTCCATCTGTTATAAATTAGTCTCGAATTACACAGAGATGTTTGCATATCCCATCACATATTTTGGCAACAGGGATCAGGACTCCATCAATACGGTCAAACATTATCATCTGGGATTAAGGCAAAAGACTTAATTTAAACAAACAACTTTCAGAGCAGAAGCATTAACTGTATTCTGATTTATTGATGTGTTAATTATATGTCCATATCTTCTCTGGTAAATATTTTTCTACCTTTATGTTTTTAAAAATTTCTCTTTGTTAAGCAGAATATAAAATGAGAAATAGAAAACAACAGCATATGAAACAGATAACAATAAAATCCTTCAGTATTATTCATTTCTGTGTCTCTGGGATAGTAACTTCAGTTTAATATAGCAAAGAACAAAATCTATTTAAAACTATAGAAAGTTGGAACAATATTTAACAGTTCTGTGCAATTACTGTTGGAAATTCAAACTATGAACTTCATTAGCTTTCAAAACATTTTAAAGGCCTTTATAATCACAGATTTGTTTATCTGGTATATTTGCTTTAACTTTTTTTTTTAAAAAAATCTGGAAGACCAAAGGCTTAAAGAAAATAGAAAAGAGTAAATTTCTGTCTTCCTTCTCCAGGAGTATTACTAAGGAGTTTCTATCATAATGTGGCTATTCTGATTGCGGGGGTCATTTTGACATTCACACCTATTTTGTGACTTTCAAACAATCATGGATTTTAGATATAAAAAATATTGGCTAATAAGTATAATTGACATCCCCATGTCATTCCTCTGGCTTATGGCTGGAGATGGGCATCTATTTCAAAAAAATTAATATGTTATTTAAAAATAAAAAGCCAAGATTAATTTTTAAAGGCCACATCACAACTTCCTGCTTCACATCAAATAGCTCTATTTTTTCAATTGTGGCTAAATAATCATGCAGATATTAAGAACAGCTGTTCATGGGATTGATATATCTGAGATACTCTTCTATAGTGTCTGATAGAACAGGATGTTCAAGGGATACACAAACCGTCTTTCCTTTTTGGCCACCCTCCTGCCCCACCCACCCCACCCTGCCATCACCCGCCTGTTAACCTGGGTGCCTATGAGGATGTAAGGCACATGAGGCATGCAGTCCTTCAGCTCCGGGACCCATTCCTCCTGGACATTGTGGTAAGAGGCAGGATTTACGACAGAGAAGCAGATCAAAAACACATCAGTGTTGGGGTAGGAGAGAGGCCTCAGCTGGTTGTAGTCCTCCTATGGGAAGAGCAAAGAATTCATACAGCCTGGGTGAGCGGGGTCTCTTGTGATTCCGGGGAGTGCCAGGCCCAAGATTCTATTGTAGCCCTCTGTGACCCTGTTCCTTCCCCTGGAATCTGGTACTTCCCTATACTACTAGAAATAAAGAAGCCATCAGTCAGGAAAATATCTTTTTGTTGTGTATGGAGATTATGAATTGCTCCCTTTTAAAATGAACTTTAAACAAAAATTTTAATAGCTTTTAGTGAGATAATTTACACATCATAAATTTTGCCCATTTAATGTCTTTAATTCATCAATGATTATTGCAGTTGTCCTGTCACATTGGAACTCTGTTGTGTTCAATATGGATTTAAATTAGTGGGCCATTGGCCAAGGCACAGAAATTCTCTTCTTATACAATTTTAAAAAATGTATTCAAATTTAATTTAGAATGAGCTAACGAAAATGCAAACCGAAGAGTTGTTGCCAAATCAGATACCATAAAAATTGAAGAAATATATTGTGTGAGGGTTTAGAGCTCAGAATTTGGGATTTGTTTCTATGTCTACCTAAAGGCCATAATGTGGTCTCATAAATAAAATGCCAGCTTAATTATTTTTTCCGAAAGCCTTTTTAGACCAGAATATGCTCTGGTTGAAGAGTTCCTAGTTATGTAAGATGTTTATGTATGTGCCATTTTAGGGGGAGATGATAAAGACAAAGTAAAATGGATCATCTCAACTTTGGGAAAATGTCAGCAAGTACATTTTATTATATATAAAATATTTTAGGAGATTCCAAGATAAAATCTTCTATTTCAATAGAAGATTTTATATATTTTCATAAATTTAGTAACACATAAGCCAAAAGTAATTTTATGTGTATGTGTGTATACTTATACTATGTATGCATATACTATGTATACCTACATTTCCTCATACACCACAATATGACCTATGTGTTCACACATACCACATATACTTTATATATGTATATATGCTATACACACAGGCTCACCATACACACATAGGTGCAACCACACCAATATGTTCACACTTATCACACACATTTGTACATAGACATGGACAACGTACGAATTCACTTATTAGGGTCCTAACTACTGTTCCTAACATTAAAAAAAATAAAACTCATATATGCTCTTTGCAAAAATTTCAACATTACACAAGTACATAGAGTAGAAGCGAAACTTTGTTTTCATTCCCTAGGTGATCTCTAATAGTTTTTCCTCTCTTCCCAGAGGGAGTCACAACTTAAGAGTATCCTTCCAAATATTAAATATATATTTACATATATAATATATGCATATTTAGTTTTAAAAAGATAAGTTGATTATATAGTTCATATTATTGTGCCACTTTTTAAAAACTTACTATGTCAAAATATCAACCTCACCATATTTCTATTGACTGTATTAATGTCTTTTTCAAACGGGGGTATGCACATACATGTACACACGTGACTGGAAGGAAGTCCCTTAGCATGTTAGGTGTGGTCATCTCTGGTTGACCGGCATGTATTAATCTATTGTTTAGCTACTCCAGGTACCCAGCACACAGGCGCTCGTTATGCATGCCTGCTACTCTTCTGACTGCTAGTGCTATTAAAACCCAAGCCAAGGTTTTTAGCCACCTAAATAGAATGCGAATCAAGATGGAAAGGATGCTGAAAAATCCTAAAATCCTAAGAAATGAACAAAAGGATATAAAAAAATCAGTTATTGTGGGTCACTTACAACATTTCTATTAAAGCAAATAAGTGGGAGTTGGGCACCTTGCTGAACAAACACTGGTCCTGCTGGGCAATTGGGCTAGGCCTACTGGCTGCACCTCAGCCGAGCTGCGCCCATGTCTGTGTGTCTGTGTGTCTGTGTAGGGGTGGTGGTAGGGGACAGGGGAAGGGAACAGTTCTTCTGTTGTTGTCACCCCCCCTCTTTACACGACTAGCCCTGAAAACCCAACCTTCTCTCCCACGGTCTCTCTGCCTCTCTCCCTTCTCTCTCTGAGTAGCTGTGAGGCCCACGCACTAAGAGCTCTCCTTTCCAGGCTATAATCTACAACTATTCATGACACCACCCACCCTCTGCTACTTCATCCTCCCATTTAGATTGTCATACATGGAGCAGGGACCATGTTGATTTTTTTTTTCTCATGACCCATTTATACTCTGTACATGGCAAATATTCCATAAATGCGATTGACTGATTGGATTGCACTAGGTCTGCAGTGATCTGCAAATGAGCACATGGCTTTTCTGTGGGTTGTTTACTATAGTACTTTTTATTAAAATCACCTGGGGAGTTTTAAGACCATCTTGATGCACTGCTAGCCAACTACCTATCTCTACCCACTGTCCTACTCTTAGACCAGTTAAATCAGAATCTCTGGATAGTGAGCTTGAGTACTTGGGCATTCTGATTTTATTGGCCTGGAGCTGAGAACAAATGATTTACATCATCATCATCTTCACCATCAACCAAGGATATATCAAAGGCTTATTACTAAGGGCCGGGCAGTTTTTCAAGCACTCACATGTATTATCCTGTTGAATTCTCACAAAGATGGCACTACCTACATCCACATTTCATAGAAGAGGAAATTAAGCTTAAGAGAAGTTCACTAATGGACAAATGTTACAAAGCTATTAAATACCAAGATAGGGTATTTAGCCTGAATCCAGTTCTAGCTTGTGATTGTGACCACACTATTTGCTTCAGCCAGAATTTTAAGTCACAGATGAAGAATTTTCCTGAAAATTCAGTTATTCAGGAATTTTAATCTAGACTCATGCTTTATCCAGGGATCTGAGAAAAGAAATGTATAGTATCTATTTCATGGCCTACATCTATTAGAAATTACCACCAGATGGCAGCAGACACTGTATATTTAAAACCTCAAAGCCAAACACAATCAGGAGAAATGTCACAACTAGGTAAGGTAGGAGCAAATAATTGGCAGTCTGAACGGATCATGTTTATTTGATTCTTTATCCAGAAGCTATCAAAGTAGTTCTGCTTACCTTATGGAATATTTAGGAAGGCAGTGGGTTGCTGGACAGACTGTAGTTGGGAAAAAAAGAGTTTTTGTTTGTTTGTTTGTTTGTTTTTGATGATTTACCCTTCTGGCAGGGTAGCCTAGGTTGTCCAGCTGAGTGACTTCTGACCATGTGCTTCATTGGGCTTTATCCTATACTGTTTTCTGGATTTCTCTATTCTGTGTAAACCTTAGTCTTGCTGTGTAATTCCATTAAAAAAAATTATTAATTGCCTCCTGAACGTCTAGCACTGTTAAAGATGTTATATGAACTATGTAAGGTGAATAAGAATTGGCAATCTAGTTTGCAGAAAGAAATGAAAATATGGGAAACAACTTGATTTATGCGAGACAGGTGAAGTTTCTCTTGTTCTTTGTTAGCTCTTTGATAAAATAATGTAGAACATTTATTTGACTGAATTGGAAAAATATAATTTTAAGGCTGAAAGAGATCTTACAGATAGATAATTTTGTACAGGGACTCTCAAAGTATTGTCCCCGACCAGCAGCATCTGCATCACCTGGGAGCTTGTTAAGTACTCCCTCAGGCCCTGCCCAGCTCTCTCCTCAGGCCCCGCCCAGCCGAGGCTCTGGGGGAGGGGCTACACCATCTCAGCCAATTTTATCGTTTTAGGAAACTAAAGTCTAGACAGATTAAGTGATTAAATTGGAACCACAGAGCAAACGTACTTTTAAAGAAGGCTCACACCTGGGGCGGTGGACTCCTTCCAGCCCCAGTTCGCCACTGGCTGCAGCAATGAAATGTGGCGGGGGTTCCAGGATTAATAAAAGGAAGTATCCCCTTGGGACTGTGGGGTGACCAGTAGGAGGTTGAGGAATTTGAATTTGATGTTGATGATAACTTAAGGGATTGTGTGTGTGCGTGTGTGTGTGTGTACACGTGTGTGTGCGTGTGTGTGTGATGGAGCACGTTTGGAGCCTAGATTGGAGGATCACATGTTGAGGTGGTGGGGCTAGGAAGTGTAGATAGTCTAGCTGGTATGCAAAATTGAGAATAGAAGACCAGTGTGGAGTGTTTCCTGAAGAGACAATGTTTTAATCTAACAGAGCATCTGAAAGGGGGCCGTGGAGAGTTAAAGTGGAGAAAGAAGCTCGAGTGGGGCTTGGGAAGGGATGGGGAGGTTGGGGGAGCAGGGTGGGATTTGGGGCAAGGTAGGCTTTTGAGTACTTGCCACTCAAGTTAACTCTGAAGACAGGAGAGTGTTTGGTTTGAAGGCAAATCTAGAGTTCTGTGATGACTGTGGGTGACCACTAGAAATGTTCAGGGACAGCCTTAGCATCAGATGGTACAGGTGGTGGTGAGTAAGTGAAACCATTAGAGCAGCCCTTTTCAGACTTTATGTACACTTGAATCCCTTGGGATCTTGTTAAAGTGCAGCTTCTTATTCAGCAGCAGGTCTGGGATGAAGCCCAACAATTTGCATTTCTAGAAAGTTTCCAGGTCACACTGAGTGGCAAGGAGAGGTGCACTGAGCACTCCCTTTACCCTCCCTACTCCCCATACCCATATTCAACTGGAAATAGAATCCTGTTTCCAAGTCTTCTTGGGTTTAGTGACATTTATTCCAGATTCCTAGCATGTCTCATTTTCATATTCTCCCATAAATACATTCATATCCATCAGGCTTGGGTTGGAAAATCTGGCAAAAAGTATAGGGTGAGATTGTAGCATCGTGCTTAAGATCATGGGCCAGGGAGGCAGATTCTCTGGCTTCAGATCCCAGCCCTGTCAGCGACTACATGTGATCTTGGGTGAGTTTTCTCTGCTTGGTTTCCTTATTTAAAGTGAGGTTGATCGTGCTGGCCTCATAGGGTCGTTATGAGGATAAAATGTGTTAGTATTTGTAGGCCACTTAGAACAGTGTCTTGAACATAGTAAGTTCTTTAATGGCCAAGAGTCTGTCCTCCCATATCAGCAACAGTTGCAGTTCCTACCCTCTTTGGATACCAGGGCTGAATCTGAAATGAACTTTTTCTGAAGTGAGTAGTAATGAGACCCAAATGTTTGCATACTCTGATTGATCCTCTGAATTAATGTCCCCACAGCTCCTTTTTTTTTAGGATTTCAGAATTAAGATAATGTCCTAGGGTTGCTTTTACAAATAACTCGTCATGTGGGCAAACTTCTTCCTAAGCCCCCACTTCCCACAATTTGTGCACTTCTAAAACCACATTAAGATGCATGTGAGCAAGAAAGTTCGAATTGCTTATTGAGGAAAAACATTTATTTTGAGGTTTTAGGCAAACTTTCCATAGAGGGTTGATGCCAGATTTTGTGCTCCAGATGGCCCTGTTGGGTCAGCCAATAGCAAAGGGGAAGACTGGCATCTTTCCAAGTGAACCTTGGGTTGCCATTAATGAACCCCAGCTGTACTTGCCTCCCTGCCTCATGTCTCTTTCTTCAGCCTATTGGGAAAAGGCGGCTTCAGAGATCAGGGCTGGTAAGGACATGTGTTGTGCAGCCCTGGCTGAGGGGTGCAGCTGATGGCCTTCCTGCTCCCACACTCTCACGGTCACTGGTGACAGCTGAGCTGCTGCGAGTAGTGGTTTCTCAGTGACAGACACCATTCTGTGCTTAGAGAACTCAGGGGTTTACCCTGTTGAGAAACCAGGCTTCTGACACCAGAAGATTCTTGTTCCTCCTTGGCAGTGCCACTAACTGCCACTTTTGCAAATGTTACCTTTGTGATATGTCCATTCTGGGGTTTGGCGCGAGAGGCCACCATCTGAGCAGGGCTTTCCCCACACTCCTCGTATAAGCCAGGACCCACTCAGAGAAGGAGGCAAGATGTCTTAGTACCCTCGCTGGCTCCACTCTGGTGGCTGGCAGTGAGTGAAAGGATGCTTGGCTCACAGCCATGACCTGGGAAAGACCCCTCTCCCAGTTTGGCAGTCCTCAGGCAGTGAATGCCCAGGCTTTGCTGTAGCATCCCCACCCCACATCTCGCTCCCCATGACGCACTCCAAACAAACTGGCCTGCAAGCACGTCATGGAAAAGTTGGCTCTCAGGCCCTTTGTAGCCGAGCCAAAGATCTGAACTCTAGAGATCCATTTCAGAGAGACTTTCAGTAATATACTATTAGGGGCATGTGCTGAACAGGATGAGTTGGCAGCACCTAAAGAGATCTGGCTTACAGGCCTGGCCTTGTAGCTTCCTCAGTGTGAGCTGAGGGGTAACATGCAGAGTCACCCTGAGAAAAAGCCCTCACTTTATTGCCTAACCTAATGTTTGGAATTCTACTTAACACATGAACCAGAGTTCTGAAGACTCTGTATGCAAAGGACTCCCACTCAAAGTTCAAATATTAGTTTGTTTCAGGGGTTTGGGGAGAGAGCTAATGTTTAATAGCTGCCATGTGCTGGCAGTGTATGCATGTGACTTCATTATAAACTGTCTTTAGTGAATGCTTGGCTGGCTTGTAAAGGGCTGGGAGTGAGTCTCAGGCAGGGCTGGTCAGGCTGCTGTTGTGCCCAAGGCTGACTAGGTGGGAACCAGGTCAAATGATTTTGTTCAGGGGTGACTTTGAAGATAGAAATACTAAATTCCTATCACTTAACCTTTCAGAACACATGTGCTTCTCGAGGTTGTTTTCATCAAGTCTGACCCACAGCCAGCTCCAGACAAAAATAAGGGGCACTGCTCCTTGGTTATTCATATAAGAAAAAAATCTAATTATTCATAGCAAGATAGACTCTGTAGCTGGGTTTGGAGACTCATTTCCTTTTTGTGGTTCAAGAAGCAATCAAAGTTTGAGATCACCTCTCTTTCTTAGTAGTAACTCTGGCCAAATGAGTATTTTTCAGTTAGTTATAGATGCTCCTTAGGCATGTGGCTGCAGTAACATTGCTAGAATTTAACTATGGAGAGTGGACTAATCTACCTGAGGCAGGGAATGGAAATTTTGGGAAGATGCTTTAAGTTAAATTTGTTACAAAGCCTTATTCACAGAGTTGTAGAACCACGGAAATAGACTTGGGTGACGGTTATTTTCCACCGCCTCTTCGTAACGTTGGGAAGGCGCTTCAACCACTGAAGGCTTCCAGAGTAGTGCTTCTCAAATTTTAATGCACCTACGAATCACCTGGGGACCTTTAAAAAATAAATTTTTGAATTCAATAGGCTGGAGGTGGGATCTGAGATCTGCATTTCTAATAAGTCCCTGGCGATGCTGATGCTGCTGGTCAGTGGATGACACTTAGAGTGACAAGGTTCTAGAACAGTGGTTCTCAGTGTATGGTGTGCAGAACAATAGCAGCATCATCAGGAAACTGTTAGAAATGCAAATACTGCAAATTCTTGGGCCCCACCTATAGAATAAGAATCTCTGTGGCTAGGGCCCAGCGGCTGGGTTTTAATAAGACCTACGGTGATTCTGATGCCTGATCAAGTTTGAGAACCTCTGGTCTACAAAATGAATTGTATGTCATACTTTAGTATAACGAATTCCAATATTTAATAATCCTTTACTGCTGAAAGGTCTCCCTTAGGTGTAGCCTCAAGTCATTTTGTTTAATTACTTCAGTTCTTTTAGGCTTTCTTGAAAGTCATCTTTTAAAGGTCCTAATCATAGAATTTGAGGCCTAGAAGAAAACTTAAGATGTGTTCTGATTCCTTTTCCCTATGCACCACTATGAACCTTGTCTACCTCTGAGCTTTCAAATAGCTGCTGGAAAGCATTAAAGTGAAAGTTAAGTTGAAGAAATACCTATAGCCCATTTGTTGTTATATTTTGTCAGTGCTCATCACTTTCTCCTATGTCAGAGGTTTGGGTCATTCTGCTTTCTTCCATTTGGAGTTTAAAGATACTTTTACACTGCCTTACAGCTTCAATTCTTATACTATTATTATTTATTTATTTTTTCCTAAAAAGAACAGAGCAGTAGGAAAGAAGAATTAAACACTACAAGAGGTTTTAGATGGTTTTATTGAATTTGAAATTAAATAGAGGGCTGGGGGTGGGGGTCGTTCTGGGGGCAATTAATGCATAGAAGCTTTCAACCATGATGGTAAAAGACGAGAGA